AAAATTGGAAACTATGAAATGTAACGTATAAACATGACATCCTAGGCATTAGTGAGCTGAATTGGTCTGGTATTGGCCATTTTGAATCTGATAATCACATGGTTTACTATGCTGGGAATGACAAATTGAAGAGGAATAGTGTCAAATTCATCATCAAAAAAGAAACAAAGAAAGAAACAAAATCAAGATCTGTCTCGAAGTACAGTGATATCTGTGATAGGATAATATCCATATGCCTACAAGGAAGACCAGTTAATACCACTATTATTCAAATGTACGCACTAACCACTAAAGCCAGTGATGATGAAATTGAAGAATGAGTCCTAGTGTGGCGCTGTAGGCTAATGTGTCAGACTGCAAAGTTGTTTGAACTGCAAGGTCATTGGTTCAAGCTCACCAGCTGCTCCTTTTGAACCCTATTTAGGGTTGCTATGGGTCGGAATTGACTCAACGGTACTTAACAACAACTACCAACTTTTTCAGTCTGAACAATTTCTGAACAACATGCAATCAAGATGTCTTGACAATTACTGGTGATTGGAATGCAAAGGTTGGAAACAATGAGGAATGATCAGTATTTGGAGAATACAGGTGACAGAAACAATGCTGGAGATCGCATCATAGAAATTTGCAAGACCAATGACTTCTTCACTGCAAATACCTTTTTTAAACAACAGAAAAGATGACTATACATATGGACCTCACCAGATGAATACACAGAAATCAAACTGACAACACCAGTGCAAAGAGACAGTGGAAAAACTCCATATCATCAGCCAAAACAAGGCCAGGGGCAAAACTGTGGAACAGACAATCAATTGCTCATATGCAAATTCAGGCTGAAGCTGAAGAAAATTCAAGCACTTCCACAGAGCCAAAATATGACTTTGAACATATCCCACCTGAATTTAGAGATCATCTGAAGAACAGGTTTGATGCATTAGACACTAAAGACCAAAGACCTGAAGAGTTACGGGATGACATTAAGAACATCATACAGGCAGAAAGCAAAAGGTAATTAAGAAGACAAGAAAGAAGGAAAAGACCCCAAAATGGATGTCAGAGGAGACTCTGAAACTTGCTCACCAGCATAGAGATGCTAAAGCAAACGGAAGAATTGAGTAGGTACAAGGGCTGAACAGAACATTTCAAAAGTCAGCTTGATAAGACAAAGTTAAATATTACAATGAAATGTGCAAAGACCTGGAGCTAGAAAATGAAAAGGGAAGAACATGCTAAGTTTCTCAAGGTGAGGGAACTAAAGAAAAAAATTCAAGCCTCAACTTGTGGTGTTGAAGGATTCTCTGAGCAAATTATTGAATGATGCAGAAAACATCAAAAGAAGATGGAAGGAGTACAAAGAGTCACTGTACCAAAAAGAAATGGTCGATGTTCAACCATTTCAAGAGGTAGCATATGATCAAGAGCCAATGATCCTGAGGCAAGAAGTCCAAGGTGCACTGAAGTCATTGGCAAAGAACAAGACACCAGGAATAAATGGAAAACAAATTGAAATCTTTCTTCAAACTGATGTGGCACTGGAGGCACTCACTCATCTATGCCAAGAAATTTGGAAGACAACTACCTGGCCAACTGATTAGAAGAGATCCATATTTGTGCTCATTGTCAAGAGAGGTGACCCAATGGAATGCATAAATCATTGGACAATATTATTATTGCATGCGAGTAAAATTTTGCTAAAGGTAATACAAACACAGCTGCAGCCACACACTGACAGAGAACTTCCAGAGGTTCAATCTGTCTTCAGAAGAGGACACAGAATGAGAGTTATCATTGCTGACATTGTTTGGATCTTGGCTGAAAGAAGAGATTACCAAAAAGTTGTTTACGTGTGTTTCAGTGACTATGCAAAGGCTTTCGATTGTGTGGATCATGACAAGGACAGCATTGCAAAGTATGAGTATTCTGGAACACTTAATTGTGCTCATGTGGAACCTGTACATAGACCAAGAGGCAGTTGTTCGACCAGAAGAAGGGAACACCGAATGGTTTAAAATTAGGAAAGGTGTGCGACAAGGTTGTATTCTTTCACCATACTTATTCAATCTGTATGCAGAGCAAATTATCAGACAAGCTGGATTATATGAAGAAAAACATGGCATCAGGATTGGAGGAAGACTCATTAACAACCTGCGATATGCAGATGATACAACCTTGCTTGCTGAAAGTGAAGAGGACTTAAAATACTTACTGATGAAGATCAAAGACCACAGCCTTTGGTGTGGGTTGTCTCAATGCAAAGAAAACAAAAAAATTCATCACTGGACTAATGAACAACATCCATATAAATGGATAGAAGATTGAAGTTGTCATAGACTTCATTTTGCTTGGATCAACCATCAACACTCATGGAAGCATCAATCAAGAAATCAAACAATGTATCACATTAGGCAAATCTGCTGCACAGCATCTCTTTAAAGTGTTGAAGAGCAAAGATGTTAGTTTGAGGACTAAGGTGCACCTGACCCAAGCCATGGTATTTTCAATAACCTCATATGCATGTGGAAGTTGGATAGTGAATAAGGAAGACCGTAGAAGAATTGATGCATTTGAATTGTGGTGTTGGAGGAGAATATTGAAAGTACATGGACTGGCAATAGAACCAACAGATCTGTGTTGGAAGAAGTGCAGCCAGAGTGCTCCTTGGAATCTAGGCTGCTCAGACTTCATTTTTCATAACTTCAGACACATTATCAGAAGGGACCAGTCACTGGAGAAGGATATCATATTTGGTGAAATGGAGGGTCAGAAAAAAAGAGGAAGATCCCCAATGAGATGGATTGGTACAGTGGTGGCAGCGACGGACTCAGGTATAGCAATGATTGTGAAGTTGGTGCAGGACTGGGCAGTGTTTAGTTCTTCTGTGCATAGGGATGGTATGAATCTGTACCAGCTCAATGGCACCTAACACCAATGGCTACTGTCTGGACACTTTTGAGTTCCTTCCATGTGCTTGTAAACCGGAAAGTAAAGAAAGGAGTTAGCGTTGAAAGGAATTGAGACTGATAATCATTTGGAGAAAAGGACTGCTACACAATAGGGGCGGGGAGAACACTCGGCGCTCAGATGATCGAGGCCATCTTGGTGCAGCCATGACTAGGTGTCATCACATGAGGGCAAGTACAGCGGCCCCAGCCCGACAAAGCCTCCTCAGGAAAGAGGATCAGTGTCAAGCCCCAGACTTGTCACAAGTGCTAGGCACAGGGGCCTAGGGTGGGGGGTGGGAGAGGAGGTGACAGCATTGGTTTGACACAGGGTCCAACTGCCTCAGTGGGGGTTATGGTTCAACCTCTCCCATTTACCCTCCTTTTGGAGTCAGACTCTGGGAAAGTTCTTCCTGGATGGAATGTACATAATTTGAGAAGCAGGTGGGGATACGTAATGTAAATAAAGGGTGGGCTGCAATGGACAGGAGCCTTGTCACCTGGTTCCTCGAGTGTTGGCTGGTAAAACTTAAGAGCTGCCCATTTCCCCAGAAAATTCTTTGTTAAAATGGGACCCTGGGGGTTGTGAGCCAGCCCCTCCATTCTTTCCTCCCCACACTTGGCCAACTGGTCCGTGCCTCCTCGGGCGTTTGTTCTGCAGAGCTTCACCGGGGGTAGGAGAGGCTGCAGCTGGTCTCTAGCCAAGACCACAATCATGTTTAGCTTCTTGTCTCCTGCCCTAACCCTGCTTCCCTCCCTCCTCTCTTTCTCCTGAGAGCTTCCCAGTAATCACTGGGGCAAGAATTCCCTTCTTGGACTCTGCTTCCAGGAATCCGATCCAAGTTACATGACCCAGTACTGGATGCTGACCTTTATGTATGTGAATTTCATCTCAGAAAAGCAGTTCTGGTGTAAGGCCCAGTGCTGACTACTGATATCACCTGTCATCCACCCAACAACGTGGATCCCGACGAGAGAGCCTGTTCAGGTCGAATCTCTTCAATTGAGGCTGCAAGTCTGTCACTCAGGCGGTCAAGGGTTTGTTCTGAAGTTCCCAAATGTATACCCGTTCCTGTTAGAACTCTATGACCTGTGACACTACCTCAGTTGTCAGTGTGGGTCACTCTCGTGTGACAGAGGGAGGCAGCTTTACACTCGGTACTGAAAGTCCACCAAACACACCCATGACTCCAGGTGACAGCAACCCAATCTTTATAGTAAAAAAGAGTCAAGATAAAATAAATCAGGAAAACAAAACAAATGACGTGTGAAAAGATCAGAACAACACCCTAGTGAATCATGACTACTCGCCAGGCACTGTGTCCACCCATGGGGGCAGCATGGAGGCCCCTCCGCAGCCAAAGAAGTCCACACAAGTCATTGGAGACCCCAGGCCTGCCTCCTGCGCTGGGGGAGACTTGAAGGAAGCTCTTCTTGACAGTTACTTGCAATCCTCGAGGGTGTGTCCTGGGGAGTAGCTGTAGAGACCCTGTTACAGGTGAGGGTCACCTGCTCTACTGGACTTTGGAGGCAAACCGTTCCAGGGTCTCAGGAGACATACCTGTGCTCAGAAACCCACGGAATGAACAGCTCTCTGTTCAGAACCATTTACAAGTTGGCTGGGAGACTATAGAGTGCTGGGATAGGTGGAAAAGTAGAAAGGCTCCCCCGCCGCCCCCTCAATTCTGCAGGGTGGAAAGCATGTGGTCAGCTCCTGTGGGCAGTGAGGGGTAGAGGCTTCCTCTTATTAGAGATACCTGAGCATGCTCCCACCCCCATTCCTGTCATAGTCTCAGCTCCAGATCTCTAACTGCACTTCAGGGAGGTATGGGCCTCTTACATCAGCCCAGGGGTTTGCTGGTGCTGACCCCACACCTGTCCTTGAGTGCTGGAAGAGGCCAAGTAGGGAGGGTGGGTGGACATGGGAAAGGCAGGCTGGGAGGGACAAGTGGGTGTGCAGGAGGGGCAGGGTCCAACTTGGAGCTTGCGGGGTGCTGCCGGGAGGGGCATTTTAAGGGCTCCAGCCCCACCCCCAGCCCGTCCTGACTTCTGTGTTCATGAGGCAGCTAAGCTTTTGGTGCCTTCCTGCTGCCCTTGGCCCGGCCCGTCGTCCTCTTTCTGTTCCAACTCGAAGTTCTGTGAACAAAGATGCATGTGAGACCTGTACTGTCCACAAAGGCAGAAGGAGCCACACTATCAACTCGCATTCCACATCTGCACACAGCCTTCCTACCTCCAATTCCTGCAAAACCTCGTCCATGAAGTCCCGGGAGTTGTGTTTATAAGACACAGCCAGTCGAATCGCATCGTTGAAGAGCTGGGACAGTGGGGGGCAGGGGCAGGGAAACAGTGGCAGAGGCTGGGCATGCCCCGGCCTTCTGGCCCCACACCACTGCCCCCCATCTGCTAACACCTGCCCCACTCAACCCTTTCCCACCCTGCTTCCTGCAGCAGGGCCCCTGCTATGGGCCCACCACACTCCACTCAAGCCCCTCCTCTTCATGGCTGCCGTACCTTCACCACGTTGGTACCGTCAGCAGCTGAGACAAAGTACAAAGGCAGGGAGAACTTCTTGGCAAAATTGAAGCTTTTTTGGGTCACCTTTACATCTGCTGTAGAGAGAAGGTGGTCTAGGGCTTGTCCATCACAGAAAAGGGAGGGTGTGGAGGGCAGGCTGGGGGGAGTGAGTTGCTGGGGGGTCGGGGCCTTCGCCTTGGGTCAGGGCAGGTTGTCTTTGTGGAGGGGGCACATCACTGAAACACACTGTCTTGGGCAAGAAGGAATGTGTGGCGGTGATCCCCACTGCCCACCGTCAATCTTATTGGCCACCACGATGCAGGGGATCTCAGGCCGGAACTCCCGAAGCTCTGTGTACCATGTGCTCAAGTTCTTGTAGGTGACCTTCCTCTGCACGTCAAACACCTGCAGGGAGTAGAGGGATCTCATTGTCCCTGCACTCAACCTGGACCCTGGTCGGCCAGGCGAGTGCAGCCCAAGGGCCCCGCAAACCCCAGCTCAAGACTGTGCCACCTGGAACGTGAGGTGCAAAAGCCTTCATTCCTCTTCTTTTAAAGCTTGTTTACCTATTTTAACCATTGTAAATGTCATCATTATACTAACAGATAATAGTCTGGTTCCCACATACTGCAGTGGCTCAAGTGATGCTGGAATCTGTGCCATGCGTATTTTAAATACCAGCCAGTGGAACTCTGAGACTAGGACTAGGAAGAAAAGCCTGGCCATCTAGTTCTGAAAATGAGTCAAAGAACACTTGTGGACCTGCTCACTTTGGCTGGGTCATCAGGAGGAACCCATCACTGGAGAAGGCCCTGAAACGGATGAACTTGAACATGCTGGTGATCCGGAGGGGGACATGAGTCAATTCGGTGGCAGCTGTCATGTTTAATCATGATTTTTTTTTTTCTCTTTTAAATTCATTTGTAATATTTTACATGTTTCTAGAATTTTCCTTTCATTACTATTAATTCCTTTTCAGTTTTAAGCTCTTGTTCAACCTTTCATTTATTTTGTATTTACTCAAAATGTTTTAAAAGTATTTTATTTTATTATTTTATAGCTTCTTAGCATGAGTTTTTACAATCTAATTAACTCCGTAATTTGCTATTTCACCTGTTTGAAAACCATCAGCAGACCAGCGCTCAGTGAGTCTTAGTGGGTGGCAGGAGCTTCCAGCCAGCCAGGGGATCATGCTGAGTGGTCCAGGGCATCCTGCGTGGGAGCTTTACAGCTAGGTGCCGTTGGGTGGGTTCCAACTCATGGAGACCCCACGCACACCAGCATGAAACACTGCCTGGTCCTGTACCACCCTCACAATGGTTGTTATGTTTCAGCCAATTGTTGCTGCCACTGGGTCAGTCAGTCCATCTCGTTGGGGGTCTCCTTTGTCGTTGGCCCTGCACTTTAACAAGCATGATGTTCTCCTCCAGGGACTGGTCCCAAGTGTGCGATACTAAGTCTGGCCACCCTGGCTTCCAAGGCGCAGTCTGGCCGTATGTCTTTCAAGGCAGATTTGTTGTGCTTCTGGTACTGCACGGTACTGCCAGTTGTTTTCTCCAACACCACGGTTCAAATGCACTGATTCTTCCATGGTCTTCCTTAGTTATTGTCCAACTTTCACCAGCATATTTGTTGTTGGATGCCACTGAGTTGGAACCCACCCATAGCGACCTTATGCACAGCAGAACGAAACACTGCCCGATCCTGGGCCAACCTCACCACTGCTGCCATGCTTGAGTCCATCGATGCTGCCACTTGGCCAGTCCATCTCGTTGGGGGTCTTCCTCTTTTTCTCTGACCCTCCACCCTGCCAAACATGACATCCTTCTCTAGCGACTGGTACCTTCTGACAATATGTCTGAAGTATGAGAGACGAAGTTTGGCCATCTTGGCCTCCAAGGAGTACTCTGGCTGCACTTCTTCTAAAATGGATCTATTGGTTTGTTTGGCAGCCCGTGACACTTTCAATATTCTCCTCCAACACCATAACTCAAAAGCATTACCAGCATATAGGTGACTGAAAATACCATGGCTTGGGTCAGGCATACCTTAGTCTTCAAATGGATATCTTTGCTCTTGAACACTTTTTAAAAAAGAAAATGTTTTGTTGTGAATTATGTGATAGTTTACATGGGAGTACATTAGCTTTACATTCATCCTATTGTATATCGTTACATTACCATGGTTACAATCCCCTCCATACATCACCAACCAACCAAATGGTGCACTCCACAAGCCTGCCCCCTGGTCATCAGCACACAGCCCCTCTCCCTCTGTGGGTCTAGAGTTCCCATCTGCTCCATCTCTCCATGTCATCGTCTCTGCCTCCATCTTTGGCACCACTTTTTCTCCCGGTAGGGTCCCGCACGCTGCTCCTCTCCCTTGATGGCCCCAGGGACCTCTGCTCCTGGACTGCAAAGTCAACCACTCCCTTCCTTTTGCTACAAAACACCTTTACATTTCCAACCCTCACAGTCAGTCCTGATAGTAATTATTCACTATTGTACCACATGAGTGCTATCCCCATCTGCTTTCATCAGCCCAGTCCAGACAGATTGGATACTACTCAGTGGAGATTCTACCTTCCTCAGCGCCCTCTGGATCTAGTCTCCCTCTTAAAAGCTTGTAAGCCAGTCACTTCTTGCCTTTGTAGCCTCCTCCACCCCCTCATTTTGGTTAGCCAATGTCCAAGTTGCCCATCCCTGTCTACTCTGTGTATGGAGGCGGTGGGAATGATCCTCGCTGTAAAGATTTATTCCCTCTTTTGAGCTACTGCATCCATAGGTGTAGGTCAAGTTCATCAAAATGTACCAGATTACTCTTTTTTTCTTCTTCTTTCTTCTTCTAGTTGAGCTCTGATCATTCAGTCATTGAAGTCAAGTGGGTATTATCTGTAGCTCTTGAACACTTTAAAGAGGTCTTTTGCAGCATGTTTGCAGTTAGTCTTGATTTCTTGACTGTTGATAATTGATTCAAGCAAATTGAAGTCTTTGACAATTTTGATCTTTTCTCCATGTACCATGATGTTATTTATTGGTCCATTTGTAAGGAATTTTGTTTTCTTTCCATTGAGGTGCAATCCACATGGAAGGCTATAGTCTTTGATCTTCATCATTAAGTATTTCAAGTCCTCTTCGCTTCTGGCAAGCAAGGTTGTATCATCTGCATATCGCAGGTTGTTAATGAATCTTCTTTCAATACTGACACCACACTCATCTTCAAATAATCGAGCTTCTCAGATTATTTGCTTAGCATGCAGATTGAAAAGAAATAACCCTGGGGCACACATTTCCTGATCTTAAACTATTAAGTGATTCCTTGTTCTGATTTAACGACTGCCTTTTGGTCTATGTACAGGTTCCTCATGAGCACAATTAAGCATTCTGGAGTACCCATTCTTTGCAATGTTACCTATATATAGTTCATTAAGATCCAAAGTTGAAAGCCTTTGCATAGTCAATAAAACACAACTGAATACCTTTCTGGAGTCCATCCTGGTGTGGTCCTGTAGGCTATGCATTGGACCACAAGGTCGGTGGTTCACTCACCAGCCACTCCTTGGAAACCCTATACAGGGTCGTTACAAGTTGGAACTGACTCACGGCACTTAACAGCAATAACAAATATCTTTCTGGTAGTCTCTGCTTTCTGCCAAGATCCATCTGACCTCAGCAATGAACTCCCTCGTCTGACTCTGGCCTGAACCTCCGGCAGTCCCTGCCAATGTACTGTTGCAGTTGGTTTTGAATTATCTTTAGCAAAATGTTACTTGCATGCAATACTAATGACATTGGTAGATAATTTCTACGTTCTGTTGGGTCATCCCTCCTTGGAATGGGCACAAATACGGATCTCTTCTTGTTAGTTGCCAGGCAGCTGCCTTCCAAATTTCTCAGCAGAGATGAGTGAGTGCCTCCAGTGCTGCATCAGTTTGCTGAAAGATTTGTTTTATTCTGCCAATTCCTGGAGCCTTGTTTTTTGCCAGTGCCTAGTGACGCTTGGGCCTCTTGCTTCAGTGCCATCAGTTCTTGATCATATGCTACCTCTCAATACGGGTGGTCACTGACCATTTCTCTTTGGTGCAATGACTGTGTGAGCCTTCCATCTTCTTTTGATGCTTTCTGCATCACTCATTATGTTGTCCACTGTAGTTGTTGCAAAGTGCCGTCAAGTCGGTTCTGACTCATAGCGACCCTGTATGGGGTTTCCGAGGGGCAACTGTTGAGTTTGAACCACTGACTTTGTGGTTCAAACTGACCTTGCAGTCCAGTGCATATCCTGCAGCGCCACACCAGGTATCCTTCAATATTTCACGTTGAGGCATGAATTTTTCTTCATATTTTCCAGCTAGGCCCAAAGTAGGGCCCCTAGTGTCATCAAAGTACTGCACCATCCTGGACCCCACTGAAGATTTCTTGTGAGGCATGTTTGCAGTGAAATGCCCAGAATCAACCCACAAGGCCCCCTCATCACTGTCATGTCTATCTGGTCCCAGGGCACCATCTTCATGGTAGAAGCTCCCAGTTTCTTCCTCTCACTTAGAGCTGGGACCTTGGCCTCCAGAGCAGACCCCTCTGGACCTCAGGAGAGGAACCAAAGGCAAGAGAAGCTGCCTCGCGAGGAGGAAGGGCAGTTTGACTCAGCCCTGTAAAAGGCATCCAGGCAAGACGTTGGGAGATGTGTGGATCCTGATGCAGAATTCACAGGCACACAGTGGTGTCCTACACCAGGTTCCCATGTGCTGACCACAATTCAGAGAACCGTTCCTGAGCTCTGCATGGAGGGCAGGCATCCGAGAGCATCTGGGCAGAAGAACAGCAGCATCCAGAGAAGGGGCCCCTTCTCCTTCATGGGCTCCAAGGGCTGTCGGGGGCAGGGGGACAGCATGAGTGCATGGACGTGGCTGCTGTCCCATCCAGGCATCTCAGATCTCCAGTGTTGCTATAGCAGAACCACCACCAGGGAACGGCTTTAAGAAACCGACGTTTGTTGTTTCACAGTTTAGGAGGCGAATGCTTTCTCTCTGTCAGCTCTGGGGGAAGGGCCTAGTGTGGGTCCGCTGTTTGTGGGAGATCTCCATGTGTCTTGGTTAATGTTCTCCAGGGTCTAGGAAGTTCTTGGTGCAAAGACCACGGGTCCAAAGGATGCCTTATGTTCCTGGTTACTTTTGGGTGGTAGTGAGCCCTTCCCTTTTACTTGCCTTTTTCTCTTTTGGTCTCTTGTAAAATAAAAGTGTGCCTCAAGCCAGGGTGTGACTAGAATAAGGTCCTGCAATCCCTAACCCTGCCTCACAGCTGTTTTAGGGGTTCCTACACAGAAGATGGAGGGTAATTACATCTTATGGGAAATCATGTTCTAGGAAAGTTGACACAACTGAACCCGTCACACCAGGGCTGTGGGGCAGGTCTCAGCACGTAATTGCCTATGTGGAAGTTTTCACCTCCTGCTAGAATGTGGTTTTCCATCTGCTCTGCACCAGGCAAACTGAAGAAACAACTGGCCTCCACCCAGAGGTCACCAGGCAGGAGCCTCACCCTGGAGCTCTGGGGAGCACTTATGGTTTGAAATTGCCCGGGTTGCCTGACCCCACCCTAGCTCCCAGTCTTGCGCTCATTTGTACCATGATGCAGGCGTGGGCCTTGTGGTAGTAGGAGGCGTGCATGCTCTGGAACCGCTCCTGGCCTGCTGTGTCCCAAAAGTCTGCAACAGAGATACAGCTGTCACTGCACAGAGGACGACCCATCACCGAGCACCCACGCAGTCTCTGCAAAAACATGGGCTGAATATGTGTGAGGGAGGCCAGGGTGTGGGGACATGCTGCCCCTGACTACGTGTGAGGTGAGGGGACAATGCACCAGGGTCAGCGGCCAAAGTCTGCTTAGTGTGTGCATGTGTGCGTACGCAAGTGTGGAAACATCAGTGGCGAGGTGCATTGGATTCATTCAGGTATTTTACAGCTCTGACTTTTTGGTGCACAAACCTTTAGGATTGCTATTTCTTCTTGGTGGATGCAAATACACACAATTAGAGAAACAGGTGTACAGAGACAGATGTGTGCTTATGTCTGTGTGAATACATCTGTATGCATGTTTGTGGCAGGGCTAAGCCCTTGCAGGAAAGAACACTCAGACTACATTTGGTATTTTCTTACATTGGCCGAAAAGATCCCCCAAGACTTGGGAAAGATACTACCTCATCCTCCCTCAGCAAACCCAGCCCCCCACCTTCCTGCACTCCCGTGCCCCACGCTGGCTCAGATCAGTGCCTTCTTGCCCTCACCCAGCACCCTGGCTCTCAGGGTCTGCCCTACTGCCCCCGCCCCCTTTCTGGAGTTGCCTTTCCTCCTCCTGTGACCCTTTCCCACCACCTCCCTCTCATCTCCCCACATCTTAGCCCCCCGTGGAGCTTCCTCTCCTCTCCCGGGAGGCTGCTCACCCACGAGGACAGTCCTGCCATCCACTGTGGCCGTGTGCTTGTACAGGGTCAGGGCGTACGTGGACAGCTGCTGGGGCTGACTGCAGGCAGGTCAAGGAGCCAACGACAGGCAGAAGGGAGTGAGGGAAAGGCCTCACATGATAAAGATGTGATGGGCTGGGAGTCCAGTGGGCACTGGGGCCACTACCCAGGGCTGTTGACATGAAGACGAGGGAGGGACAAGTGGAGGAGGAGGGCTCCCATACCTGCAGGATCAAGCAACCACAATCTTCTGGGAGGGACAGGTGGCCATGTACGTTACAGCTTAAAGGATACAATCCATCCATAAGGAATCTCTCCATGAGTCTGCAAGGAGAAGGGGGCAGGATAGCTTCCTTCTGGACCAAGGTGGGGCTGCCCACCCATGCGGTGCCTCCATGGGGACCTCGAGCAGCACCATGGCTCAACACCTCTTTGGGTGGAGTGCTGGGGGAAAAGCACCTGATACCCAACATCAGCTAAAGAACTAAAGGCCTCTCACCTGAGCTCAGCTCCCTGTCTACAGGGGAGCAGTCTGTGTGGGCACTCAGCCAGTCTGAAATGTGTCCGACTGGCCTACTGACACAGTCCTGGCCCCAAGATGTCCATCCCTGGACGGCACACCAGCCCTGCATCCACCCACAGCATGCATGGGAACCAAGGCAAGGTGGCTGTGCCTGTGACCTGAGACATTCCCTGAGCTCTGAGTGGGGAGATGCATTGATGACCCCATTTATGACAGGAGCTCTCTCACCCTCACCCCTCCTGGATGACTCGGGCATTTTACAGTGGGCTGTTCCATTTACTGCTGAGTCCCACTACCCACCAATGATCCAGTGACAAGATGCACATGCTTTTCCAGCTTACATAAGCACTGAGCGATCGACCCTACAGTGAACCTGAAAGAACACCCTCGCCCAAAATACATCTTCAAGATCAAATCCTCTGACTATAAGCAATTGAGTTGTACATAAAAAGCAGAAACAAGTTAAATATTCCATTGAAAATCGATCTGACATTTAATCCCACTTCTAAATAACTTGTAGGTTGGAAAAGAAATAAAGGAACGAAGAACTCTTTAGGATAGAAAGCCATATTTTTAAAAGCCCTACACAATTTCTGGTTATGGGAAAATGGAGTAGACATACTTCCTCGTCTTCCTGGCTGAGGACGATGAAAAACCTCAGTACCCAGTACAAAGCAGTCTGCACATGACTAAGACTGACTGGGAGAGCCTTTAGGACCCGAGGTACATCCCGGTGCTGAGTCCTGGGTGTTATTTGAGCCAATTTATCCCAGATTTGGAGTGAAAGAAGCTAGCAGCTTGAAATACCAGGAGTGTCTCTTCTTTGGCCAAAGTACCAGAAACAGTGGTCAGCAGGAGAAACACTTCTGGGGAAAAACCACCAGCCAAACACCACAGAAAAATGATGGCCCCGCCCCCACCCCCAATTCCAACCTGAGAAGGGGCCTGCACTTCCACCCTGGAGGTCGGTGTCAGATGGCAAGCAGGAAGCCTGAACACCTGTGCCAGGCATGGTGCCAATGACAGCCTGTACTTCTAGCTGATCTTGTGGTGAATTGTATTCTCTAAAGACATCTCTGGGAGTCCTCACGCCCGTATCCCTGTGAATGAGGCTCTGCAGCTGTAATTTGTTCACATAAGGCCATCTTGGAGCAGGGTGAGCCCTAAATCTAATATGATTGGTATCCTTGTAAGAAGAGACGAGGCGTGGACACAGAGTAAAGACAGCTTGTGAGGCAGAGACTGGAGTGAGGCTACCAGTCACGGGATGCCTGGGGTCAGACCAGAACCATCTGCAGTGCTTCACGGCACCAGCCCCAGGAAAGTGAGACAGCAACATGGGGTACCACCCCCCACTTCCCTTGCTGGAGCGGTGCCACAGGGCGCCCGCAAAACCAGAAGATTGTACAAAGGTCCCGAGTCTCAACTTAACACTCAGATTATGTGTACGTTTCAGCAGAAGCAGGATGGTCTCTAGAGGAATGAAGAAAGACAGTCAGCGAAGGCATTGGGATGAGACAGATGTTCGAATTCTCTGACAAAGCTTTTTCAGCAGCCGTTATAAAAATGCTTCGATGAGCAAATGGGAAAAACAAAAACAACAAAGTCTCATTAAACAAGCAGTAGACATTTTAAAAAGATATATATAAAAAAAATCCAATGGCAAGCTCACTAGATGGGGTCAGAGCAGGATGGAGAAGGCAGAGAAATGGATCACTGAATTTGAACACAGACTAGAAATGGCAACGTGAACAACACTTCGAATATACGGTGAGGAAAACTGAACGGAGCCTCAGGGACCTGTGGAGCTGTCAGACGACATCTGTGTCATGTGACCCTTGAAGAGGAAGAAGACAGCTGAGCTGAAAAAGTACTACAAGAAACAATGGCCGAACTTGACAAAAACACACACATAGAGAATTAAGAAGATGAACAAACACAAAACTCAAAAACACCCACCAAGATACAACATTGTTAAACTGAAGACAAAGAAAAAATCTTGAAAACATCTCTGAGAGAGAAATGATATCTTACCTGTTGGGAAAAGACATAACAAATACAGCAGATTTCTTATCAGAAATCACAAGGGCAAGGAAAAAGTGGCACGTATTTCTCAAGTTCCAGAAGAAAAGAACTGCCAATCCAGAGCCCTAAGTCCAGAAAAAATGTCCTTCAAGAACAAAGGGCAATCACTGTCAGACGAAGGAAAACTAAGAGAATTTGTTTCCAGCAGACCAACCCTTAAAAAAAAAAAAAAAAAAGAAAAGCAAGAGTGGCTATACTAATACCAGATAAAGTAGATTTCAAAGTAAAGAAAAGGATCAGAAAGAGAGACAGATATTATACAATGATAAAAGGGTCAATCGACCAAGAAGACA